CCGGCGCCCCGATACACACAGACACCCCAACACAGAGAGGACATCCCAAATACACAGACACCCCAACACAGGGACACCGGCACCCCAATACACACGAACACCCCAACACAGGGACACCGACACCCCAATACACACGGACATCCCAACAGACGGAAACTGACACCCCAATAAACACGGACAATCCAACACACAGACACCGACACCCCAATACACACGGGCACCCCAACACACAGACACTGACACTCCAATATACAGACACCGACACCCCAACTCAGACACCCGAACACACAGACACCGATACCCCAATGCACAGACACAGACACCCCAACACATAGACACCCCAATATATTGACACCCCGACACACAGACACGGACACCCCAATATACACAGGCATCCCAATACATACAGACAGGTGCCCCAATACACAGAGACACCCAAAACACAAATACCCCAATATACACAGACAGGTACCCCAATGCACACAGACAGGCTCCCCAATACACACAGACACCCCAACACACAGACCCAATACACAGAGACACCTCAGCACACACTCCAGTACACACAGGAACCCCAACACACAGACACCTGGAACAGGACATGCATATACACGGATACACCGCAGACACCCCATCACAAGCCTAAGCACGCACATGGCAGCCCTGACTCTAGGACACCCACCATTGGGACCCCTGGTTGGCGACCTAGCCTCTTGCTCCTGTACCCCTTTTTGTTTTCTTAGTCCCTGGAGAAAGTGGGGCCGCGGGGCGCCTCTGTCCAACTTCCGCCGCATCCCCAGCCCTGGGAGGTCCGAGGGGAGCGCCCCAAGGGACCAGGGCCAGAGTGCCTTCACCTTCTCTAGGACAACCTATTCGGTAGGCGAGCTAGCCGCAAGGGGATCGGGTGGCATTTGCTGCCTTGGCTGTGTCTCAGTTTCCCAACCCAACTAGAGAGCAGCGCCAGCTCCAGGCCCAGTTGTTTCCTCTCTGTGGCCCTGCGTGGGGGACAGGGGCGCATCTGGGCATCTCTCCAAGGAGGACATGCGGGCAGCTGCGTGCACTGCAGCTCTGTGTGGCCTCTCCGTGTGCCTGCTTTCCTGTTCCACACTGAGGGGTGATCCTGGGCTCCGCGAGGCGCGGGGAAGGCGGAAAGCCCCGTGCCCCAGTCCAGAGAGCTCCTGGACCCGCGCAGCCTCCGCCCAGCACCTGGCTGGGGCTCCTGGGCTCGGGGACTTCCGCAGATGCGGGCAGCTGCGTGCACTGCAGCTCTGTGTGGCCTCTCCGTGTGCCTGCTTTCCTGTTCCACACTGAGGGGTGATCCTGGGCTCCGCGAGGCGCGGGGAAGGCGGAAAGCCCCGTGCCCCAGTCCAGAGAGCTCCTGGACCCGCGCAGCCTCCGCCCAGCACCTGGCTGGGGCTCCTGGGCTCGGGGACTTCCGCAGAGCCGCGGGCTGCCGGCGCGGGCTCTGGTGCCCCTTAGCGTTGGCTCCCGGAGTTCTGAGAGAGCACCGACCGCCACGCTGGGAAAACCCGGGCTCCCCGGTTTCCGCTCCAGCGGGTCAGAGCGGGTCAGAGCCCTGGCGCAGTCTGTGTCTGCCCCGAAGCTCCAGTTCGAGCAGCCTTCGGGCCCACCCAAGACACAAGGAGCCAAGAGTCCCAGAAGCAGGCTGGGGAACGGGGAGACGCTCTGTGGCTATGGGGAGAAGTGGGCATTTCTACAAGGGGGAGTTGCAAAATGCAGCCGGCTCAGCTACCTGGCCTTTCCCTGGCCTGGTGAGGGTTGAGCTACCTTCCACAGACGCAAAGTTCAAGTTCTGAAGCACCGTGGGTAGTGACTGCTGAAAAGCCGGGTCCAGTTTGACATATTTTCTGTCATCATGCAAGTACTACGTAAACCTTTTAGAAAAACAAAATGAAAAAATCTTAGCAATTTTAAAGGTCATGTTGGAGATAGGCGTTGAGCCTGGAGTAGGCGCTACCTGGGGTGCAGGAGGCCAGACTGAGCTCAGGAGTTCTGCCCCACCTGAGACCATGAGCCAGACCTGGTCCGAAACAAGGGGCCCAAACACTCAGAGAGATAAACTATTTCCCTTTTGCAGTGTACCTCAGAAACTTTTATTATTTTATTTTCAGTACCCAGGGATCGAACTCAGGACCTTGTGCTTGTGAGGAAAGCACAGCACCACTGAGCTAAGTTCCCAGCCTCTATTTTATATTATTAGCCCCCTCTTTTGTTATATTAACATAGGTATCTAGAAGGATTGAAGTACAGTAGAATTCATATCCACATTTATTATAATAACACACTTTCCCTTCAATGGTGCACTGGTAGTTTGAGTCACAAATGCAGAAAATTTAGTGATGGCTCAAATTACTCTTAGCCTCTTCTTACTCTAAGTGTGTGTGGTTGAACCAGAAAGAGAGCTAAGAATGGGAGAAGCAAATGAAAAATAATCAGAAGCGCAGAATGCCAAACAAGGCAAAGAAGGCAGGTCGAGCTGTAATTTTTATCTCATTATTATGCTTATCTAGCTAGGCTGTCTCGGAAAATATTTCAGTGACATTTATACTACATGAAAGCAAAACTGTTTCATCTGCTTTCTCCTTGGCAACCTGGGTCCTGCCTCCGTCTAATGCTGTGCATGAGTTAGGCCATTTTAAAATGAGGCAGTGGGGAGGGGGTACCGACAGAGGTAAAGTGGCCCCTGTTCCACCTCTGCTAGCCCCACACTGTGCTGGAAGCAGCAGAGAGGAGATCCTGTTGGCCCCCTTGGCATCCAGGGGAGCCAGGCAAAGGGATCTCTGAGGACCAGGGATTGGGAGACTTAACAGGAACCCAGCAACCTGCTCAGATCAAAGGACTTGGGGGAGGCACATGGCACTGAGACAGAGCTTCTGCAAGGATGTGCAGTGCTCCCAGACTGGGACCCCCGGGTGTCTGAAGAAGGGAATCACATAGAAGGGGGCCGCCTCTGCCGAGATGGGGAGCAGGCAAGGGAACGGGGTTCAGACTCCAACCAGGAAGACATTGCAGAGAAAGCAAAGGAAGGGCTTTCTCTTGACAGCAACTTGGATTTATTGACGAAATTTAGCTCATGGTTTGAGTACTCCCTTTGAGTAACAGCAACACTCTCTGGAATCAAGATGGGAAAGATGGACAGAGAGATAACCAGATTGGTCACTGTGGACTCTTTTTAGCTTATGGATCAAAGTCCTGCACAGTGGGAGGAAGAGGAAATAGCTTGGCTGGATATAGGTTTCATTTATCAGAGGAGCAAGCTGTAGCATCTAGAAACTCCTGCGTAGGCTTTACCTAAGAGTGTAACTAATGGCAAAGAAAAGTTTAATAGCACCGGCTCATCTCAGGAGGCTGCTGAAGAGCAGAGTCGCAGATATATTACACTGAAAAATCTAGTGCCAGGATGTACTTTGTACAAGAACATTCCAGAGAAGACCTGCATATACATCACAATGCCATGTGTGGACTGTTCGGCCTGTCATTTATGCTTATTCCCTTCAAAGAGTCAAATTTCTTAAATGTAGTGATGATGCCTGTGTACAAGAGAATCTGTATTTTTGGTCCTATTTCAACAGTCAATTTTGTTATGATTTGGAAGGGTGACAGGCTGCTGCTTCTGCTTTAATATTGTAAAAATAGTATAACCTTAGTCCTTAATGTCTGTCAAATAACGATATCATGGAGGACTCAAGTCACGGTATATCTGCTAGTCTAAAGAAAGCCATGGCTAGAACATGCCCACTCCTTATATAAAATAAGTATGTGTTTACCGGGATGTGGTCAGGAGCACACACAGACCATCCGCACTGTGCTCCCTCACATGACTCAGCCTGAAGCCTGGTCGTCACCTACACGTGCAAGTGCTGATACCACTTACAGCCACATGACCTAGAAAAGGACTTACATGCTCACGTGCATGTTTTCAGAACTCAGATAATGAGAAAATTCTTGACCAGCACGTTCACATTTTCTAAAATAATTGAAGCATAAAGAGGTCATAAAAATATCTAAAGTTTATTTATAAATAAAATAAGCTCTTAAGGCCATCACAATGTGCTGGCGGAAAGCTCTCTGGAAGACAAAAATAGATTC